TTTATTACAACTAAAGGTATCTGTCACTGGCATCAACAACAGTGTTTCGATGATGAGCACTCACCGATTAGTTAGTTGGTTGGTTAGTTAGTTGGTTGAGCAGTAACGATAAAAATATCCGAAGATGACAAATAATTAATGCACTACAATTACAAATACAGTTTGGAACATCGACAAACACACTTACACCGAAAAACAAATACATTCACACACACACACACACACAAATACATAGAGAGAACTGCATAGTTTCGGGTTGTCAACCATTATCACTTTTTATTCCAATTAAAAAGACGAAGTAGAAGAACGGCTGAAGAAAATGAAGAGGACCAAAAGGTAGGAGTGGGGTAACAACAACAACAACAACAACAGCAGTCAAAAAGAATTACTTTTCACCCTAATTAACCTTTCTTTCCACCTTTACCACTGTCGTCTCCTTCTTCTTCTTCTTCTTCTTCTTCTTCTTCTTCTTCTTCTTTTCCTTCTTCATCATCGTCTCATCGTCGTCTAATTTGGTCATTCCCTTCCAACATGATGACATATTTGTAGAGTAAACCAACGACGCAAAACATGAAATAAGTATAACAAATTGAAGTTAAAATTTTTTTTTTCTTTCTGCTGTATGCTTTACTTTGGAGCACTTTTGCAGTTGCAATTTCAGCAAAATTTGATAAACCGTCGGGCAAAGAGTTGTAGAGAGAGAGAGAGAGAGAGAGAGAGAGAGAGAGCGAACAAATGCAGTAATCATAGTATTACCGCAATTAATGTCACGGCTTAAAAGTAAACTATTTTTATAATAATTCAAAAGTCAAAAAAATTTTTATATGTATTATCAAATAAAGAAGGATTATTATTATTGTTGCTGCTGCTGCTGTTGTTGTTGTTGTTGTTAATATATCCGTAAATTAAAATTTTGCAGAATTTTTTAAAAATACAGAAGCACAAATGTGATACAACAAATACCTAAAAAAAAACAGTAATCTTTAAAGTATAATTTTGATTTTAAATTAAAACTTTTTAATCTATCTATTCAACAATAGCACAAAACGATAAGGACAACAACAACAACAACAACAGGAAAGAAAGATCAAGTTTTCATCTTTTCAATTATTAATCGAAATAAAACTTTCTTTCTTTTTTTTTTTTGCCTATCTAATTTAATTGTTATTTTAATCGAAAAAAAAAAACCTAAGCAATAGTGATTATAAATTTAGAGATTAATTTTTAAACGGCAGTTTTTGTTGATACATTTTCCAATTTTTTTTTTTTTTTTTTT